GATGAAAGCAAATAGCATCTCATTGATAAAACACATGCTGCAGTACTTCCCACAGTTGGGAGGCTGTGGTATTTAACAACGGTGACCTAGATTGGAGGAGACAATGAAAGCTGTTGCGGTGAGGAGCAGATTGACTGCCATTCTCATCTGGGTAATAAACGGCTGAAATATGGACAGTGCATCAAAGTTTACTAATGTGGCTTACATAAAGACCTACACTTTTGGAGGAATTGTCTCTGTAGCAAATTCAGTTTGAACTATAGCTGGTGTCTGACAGATGTTTATGTGCTCCTTTACAAAGATGCCTATTACTTTATTCAAGGATCTATGAGCCTGTGAGAGTATGACCTGATTAGGTTTGGAAGTAAATCAATATGTGAACCTGTCCAAAAACAGACATGCATTTATTTTAAAAAATATTACTCAGTGGAATAGCCTCGAGGGGATATAGCTTTTCTGGAGAGTTTCAGATGAGATAGCAGTCATATGTTGTTACTTTAAAATATTCAGTGCCATTCAGATGCTACTATTTCAGCTGTCCTGTTGGAAATAGCTGACAACAGGAGATGACATTCCTGAGGCTTTGTAGCCACAATGGCCTTCTAAGACATTAAAACTTGCTTAACTACGGACCTCAGGGGTATTTGGTATTTATTTTTAATTTATTTTTTAATAAGTGGACCTATTATAAATATTTCCCTTTTGTAAAGTGGCTCATGTTAGTGCTCCTTGTAGATTTATACAGTTAACCTTTGGGTAAATATAAATCCAAATTCTTGAAAAATAAACTGTCAATCCAGCTGTGACTCGAGAGATGCTTTAAGTAAGTGCCATTGAGCTGTAAAGGCTGATGCATCCCTACTGTGCTGTAAAACTAAATATTATTAAATTGGGTTGCAGGCAGGGGGAGGGGAAGGAGATGGGGGTTGTGAGGGACATCTGTTCTGCTCAGAGCTCCTCTCCCTGCTCGTGGGGGGATTTGAAGCGTGAGTGAGGAGGGTGAGGACATTCCCCCCAGCACTGCTCCAGCAGCTGGGCTTGGGGAGAGGCTTCTCCCCATCCATGGACCTGGCCAGAGAGAGCTTGGGTCCTGGAAGCCTCACTGTGGGAGTGTTATTCCTTTTCCCTCTCTGACCAGCCTTCCTTTGCTTTGTGCTTTTCCATTCTTTTCTCAGCTGAGAAGATTCATCGAGATGCTGTTGGTTTATTCAGGTGTGTTCAGCAAGCACTGCAACTTCAATTTGTGCCTCGCTTTATTTTTCCCCTCTTTTTTTTTTTGCCATGCGGTGCTTATTCAGATTGCACAGAGGGGGCAACAGGGAATTTTGTATTTCAAAATCAGTTCAGCAGATTTTGAAAAGCTATCTTTGAATATTCTATAATACACAGACAGATTTGAAGAGCTTATTAAAGAAAGCCCCTGACACACTTCAGCAATATTAAATCACTTCAGACGGTGCATGGCAGTGTAATGTTACTGAAGCATTTTAAAATGTTAAAAGAGCCTGGATTTGAAAGTACTGGTGGCTTCACAGCCCTTACTGTGAAAAGTGATTTAAAGTGTCAAAATTATTCCAGTGTTTACAGTCTGTTACTTTCTTACATGACAAAGAAGGGACATTAGTAAGTAACTCTAACTGCAGTTAATCTCTGGCCGTCTAACCAGCTGATATGCTGGGTTAATATCTTTATTAAATGCTTATTTAATAAGTGGGCAGCTGTTCCAACAGGCCAGATGGACTTCTCTGTAATTGTGCTAATAATGAGAACTTTCTCACAAAAAGAAAGGGGCAGTAAGAAGATGCATTGGGTGAGGGAACATCCTGACAAATGGCTTCAGGACAGTCTGGTCCTCTGCCCTCGACAGACTGGCTCAAGTAAGTGGTTCATCCCTCAAAGCAGGGAGGACCAGCAGTGAGAATTGGAGCAATGGGTTCTTTTTGGCTTAGATGTTTATTCTTTGTGTATTCTTTGCCTCCAGAGCTCTGACATCCCCAGTCCTGCCTCCCTCATCCTGCTCCAGCACATTCCTGCTGTGGGGTCCCACCTGCTGCATTTTTGTCCCTAACAAATACACATTGTGTAAAGCTGTAGCTTTCTCCCTAAATGTTACCTCTCTAAATGTTTTTGCACCTATCCCACTTATATTTCATGGGTCTGTTTTCAGAGATTTTTGCAAGAAATATTCCTAGATGGCTGTCAAAATTACAGCTTTGTTTTTGTGGAGGCAGTCTTTTTTACTGGAAACATTATCATAAGCAAGAGGAGTGGCAAAGTATGATCTCAGCATGAGCAATGAACACATTTTTCATTTGTCTTTGTTCAAGTAGGAGAATGAAAGCACTGAAAGACAATTGGACAAGTAAAAATCTGAATTTATTCTCTGGCAATATGGAATTAGTGCATTTAAGAATTGAGCCCTTGCAAATTTTTTGGCTTTTGGTGACATTTCCAGCTATTTCCTGCATTGTGGTCTCTGTCCTTCAGCTGCTGGTCCAGAAGTGCTGGTCTCTGCACCCTGAGCAGTGTCTCTAGGTTGTGAAGGCTTCTCAGATATGCCAGAACATCTCAAATATAGATGTTTGAGGAAGTCACAGATAACTATGGTCAAGCATCTAAAATCAGGGACAATTGGCTCAGTAGATGGAGAAGTTCCTATGTTTCTCCCTTGCAATGGTTTGGCTTTTTTATTTTCCTTTCATGTTTTAACCCAGAAAGTGACTGTTCCTTTTTGTTTCCTTCCCTAACAGCACTCTAAAGGAGTGAATGAGATGAACTGTTTGGGTTATAGTATCTGAAAGGCTAAATTATTCTCTTGGAGAGATGTTCTAAATGAGCCTGACCGAGATCCTGGATCTGTGTGAAGAGGACTAAGGATATAGGATGTCAACTGAGACAGAACTTCAAGTGGCTGTTAAAACCAGCACAAAGAAAGACTCCAAAAAGAAAGGTAGTGACTCATTTCTCTTTATTTGTGTGTGTTTTGTACTTTAATCAGCTCCTACATCAGCCACCTTTGGCACATCTGTGGCTCTTCTGTTGTCTGTGTGCTCAGTGAAAGTGGGATTTGTTAAGATCAGTGGAAGTCTGGTGCAGAAATATGGGGGCTGATTCTCTGACTTAAAAAATATATACTTTTGAAATATGAGAAAAAAATGCATATTATTTATGGGTCACAAAGAGAAAGACTGTTTTTAAAACTACTCAACAGATCACTTTTTCTGTGCTGATAAACACATTTTCTTCTAATGGCTTTTTTTCTGCTTTGCTTTGAACTAGCCAGAGCTCAAATGCACTTTGAATTTTACTGTCACTTTGTGAAGATTGAGAACTCAGTATCAGTCTGTGGAGAGATTATTTAATCTGGTAATCTGGTATATGGAGATATAAATGAGGAGGAAGAAAACTCAAAATTAAGGTGATGCTGTGGGGAAATGGATGGTTGATTAGTTCATATTTGTATTTACAATTTTGCCTCAGACTGTGGAGAAGTTCTTTGGAGTGATAAGTGTGAGAAATGGGACCATATGAATTTGGTGCTTAAACTTGTTTAAAGATTTTTAGTAGGGATTTTTCTCCTTACAGTTTTATTAGGATTTTTATTGCTTTATGGGTTTAAGTACTGATGAGCTTGAAGCCCAAGACCTTAAATTCTATTGGTAGTTTTAGCTGCTCTGAAGAACCAAAAAAGAACCAAAAAGAACCAAATAGCCATATTTGGTTATTTTTTAATGTACACATGAAACTGAGATTGAAAACAGATTTAATAAGAATTATTCAAATAAAAAAAAAGTAAAACAAAAATAAAATAATAATATTAAACAATCTTAATACTCAGCAGAGCAAGATTTGAATTTTCCTGTGAGCTCTGGAGTTTGTGATTCTTTCTGTGCATGTGTAATTTAGCCATTTACTTCTGAGGATGTTTTTAATTTTGCTAAGACAAAAAAAACCTCATCTTTGCTTATATACATATAATGCAATTTTACTCATGTATAATGCAATTTTGTAATGTATAATGTAAATTTTACTCACAGTTAACTTGAACTGCTAGGCATCAATACCATTTAGTACAGCAATTCTACCAAAACATTTACCAAGGCCTTGTGTTCCCTTTGGCTTTTGTACCAGAAACCTTTATCCTAGAGTTTGTAGAAAACACAGCAATTAAAAAATTCCAAGTGTTTGTTCAGGAAGATGGTTTAAAAACCTTATGACTGCTTTAGGCCTACACTCACAAATCAAAAATTATTCATTTAAGATAAGAAAGCTCCAGTCTGGAAAGGCAAGAAAAGGGGAACTTTGATGTAAATGAGAGTGTGATCTAAGATGTTTAAGGCAAATAATGTTAAAGTGGTTTGGTTGCATGATCATTCAGTTTTTGGGGGCAGGCAGGAAATTAAAAGATGTCATTTCTTTGCAGTATGGATAACATCATTTTGATGTGTGTCTCCTATGCTATTTCTTCTGCTGGAGGCTGAAACTTTTTAAACCAGCAAATAACTCTTTTAGGAACTTGATGTTTGTGTTAATAAAATATTTAGCATTCAACTTATAAAAACATTTCCACAGATCACAATTGTTGAATACGTCTCTGCCCAAAATCTGATTCTGTCCCCCAAATGGAAATGTTGAAAAGTCCCTTCAGTGCTGAGGGGGAGTGTAAATGTGTGTGGCAGTGATGTGAGTGTCTGGAGAGCTGGAAGGGACAGGGAATGGCAGTGGCACATCCCCAGGGTCGTTCTGGCTCGGTGCAGTCTGAGTGCATCCATCCCAGCAGCCATCCCAGGGCTGGGGCAGTGAGTGCTTCACACAGACAAGGTACACAATGCACACACTGTTTGTTATTCAAATCCCACACAGCCAGAGTCAAAGGAAACTTGGTGTGCTCATTTACTTGTCATTGAGCTGTGTGTACTTCCCTGTGTTCCAACAAAGGAGCCCTCCTCTGTATAGTGGGAGTGATGGACACGTGAAAAACAGGGATTTTTTTTCCCTTTTTCCCCCCCAAGTTCATTAACTGCGAGCAGTGGCAGGTAGCAAGTGCTAACATGAAGTTTCTTATGTTGCTAATCAATGAGTTTGATTATGCAATGGAACTGAGTTTTCCCAAGAAATCAGTCTTTGCTGTATAAACAGAAATTTCAACTCTGGTATTTTTTATTTTTTCAGCTCAGTGTTCTGTTGCACTGCTGGAAGAGCCATGCATCCCTCTCCATCCAGAGCAGGGACAGGTCTCTTTTGCTGTATTATCCACTGTTGTGGTAGTTCTCCTGCCTTCTGCAGCTTACAGCACTGCATGGAATGTCTGTCCCATGTTTGTATCCCATTCTGGAGGTATGGGGTGACTCAGAGGGGATGAGGATTTGTGTGGAATTGGAGCATGGGACTGGGTTCTTTCCTGATCTCAGCATAAATCTTCTGTGTAGAGTCAGCTGAATCTTCAGTTCTCTTCATCTGCATAAACATCCAGTAAGGTGGTGTTTCCTATTTGGAGTGTTGAAATAAAACAAAGCTTAATTCCTAGAATTTGTATGGTTGTATGGATATAAAACAGTATAAAGTGTCAGATGAATGTGAGCAGCTCTTTTTGCCGATGTACAGTGGCCAAAAAGAAAGCAGTGAATTGTACATTTGTAGTAATAGTGCCTACCTTGAGTTAAAGCCACTGTGGTGTCCTTAGTTAACAATTTTATAATCTAGAAAAGTTTGGAAAAAGGTCCAGGGGGAGTCTAATGTTATTTAGTGAATGTGAATGCAAAGTCTTGCTGCTGGGATGGACTAACTCCCTGCCAGAAGGGTGGAATGTGTGTTGAAGTTCTTTAGGGTTTTGCTTTTAGGCTCTGTTGCATAGACTGCTGACTTTTGGGTGACAGCGAAATAGTTTGATTTGTGCTGCAGATGGGGCAGATGATAATGCTGGTGCAAAGATTTTACCAAATATATCTTTGATATGCCAGGAGCACGCAGAACACTCTTTCTGTAGTCACATGCAGAGCAAGGGAACACTTCTCTTCAGGCTGGGTGTTTTTACAGCTGTGAGCTTTGTGGTCATAGGCAGCTCTGCAGTGTCTCACTGTCATCTGAGCTGCTTTGTGAGGCAGTGTCCTGTTCCGGCACTGAAGGGTTGTCACTGCAGTTAGGACAAGAACTTAAATACAAAACCCTCTCAGAAGCTGCTGTTTGCACAGGATCGCATCTGAGGAGCTCTGATGTTCTGTGGGTAAGTTCAATATTTACATGATCATATCAGACTGTCATTTTGTATTGTTAACATTATCACCCTGAATAACCTTAAAAGCAGGCTATTGAAAAACCAGGTACACATTTTGCCTTTCCTTCAGCCCATATTGATGGATCCAGGGTTGGTGGGCTCTAGAAATGCTTCCTGGTCAATCCTGGCAGAGGAGTTGGAATTTTAACTGACCTGGAAATACCATTATGGGAACAGAAATGAGGCAGGCACCTCCCTTCCTCTCCAGATTGTCACTTTTTCCTCTCTGTGCTGTGAAGCTCCTTGTCCCTTGAGGACCAGTGTTTCACCCTGACCTCCAGAGCCCTCCTTCCTACACTTTATTCCATTTTACAGGCTTACAGTGCACTAGGTGTTATTAGAGAAGATTATATTTCTACCATCCTCCACCTCCAGCCCTAATCTTCATGCCACTCTTGCTGATATCTGCTGGTAACTTCATTGTAATTATATTTTTTGCTCACATTTTAAAAGATATCCTGGAGAGGTTTTATGTTGCTCTCTCTTTTGAAACGGTGAAAAATTCTCAGGGGATTTAGAAAGCTCAATTTGAGGACTTTTTTTGGTGATACTTTTTTTTTTTTTGGTGAGTTTGCCAGAAGTCATGTGTTCTTTAAGAAGTGTTTAGAGAATTAATGGTACAACTAATGCTCTTAAATGCTGATGTTATTTTGTTTGTTTATGTCATCTGGTTCATTAAGAAGTGGATAAAAATTGTTTTTTTGTATCATTCAGGATATGAAATCAGAATTTTTTTATTAGCCAGAGTTGTTAAAAACATAAACCATGTTTGTCTTGTAGTACATGGGGGAAAAGCCTTGTTGTAAGTGCTTATAGATTATTGAATCAAATTGAAAACATTTACTTGAGCCTATTGGAATTAAAATTGATTTAGAAACCTCTCTGGGGGAAATGTGTTGCATTGATGTTGAATTCACACTGATAATAGCCTGGGAAAATCCCTTATTGTGAAATCAGCTGAACAGAAAAATTGAAATGGGAGGTCAGTAAAGAAGTGAGCCAGGCTACCAAATTTCAGCACAGATCTGTGTCTGCTTAGGGTAGGCCAGGGGACTTTTCTAGAGATTCAATCTCTTCCTCTTGCACTTAAATTCTGTAATTTTTCTGAAGCTTAGGGCTTGTTCTGCAATTCCATCTCTCATCATGAGACTCCTGAGACAATTTTCGAAATGACAGGGAATTGTAAAGAATGGAAGCAAATTGAGAGAGGAGCTTGGGCACGTTGGCACTCAGCATGATGCTGGATGATGCTCAGGTCCCCTTGGGTGAGATTCCCTTGTTTATTGGGTTGTAGGAATGAGACATTTAGGGAGGGTGGGATGTGCTCTGCTGGAGCTGGAGCTCTTCTCCTGGCCCGGAGCTGGGCACTGTGGCCAGGCTGGATGGACATCCAGGTGCCCAAGCCATGCTCCAGGAGGGAGAGCTGGTTCATGCCAGGTGAGGAGTTTACACCTGGAAAACTGGGAATGGAAAACTGGGAATGGGGATGGGTTTGTGTGGCAGGGCTGGCTTGGAGGTGGGAGATGTGAGTCTGATCCTCTTGGGATCACGATGGCAAAAAGTTTAATTGTCCTATTTTATCTCTCCTGAGTGCTGATTAAAAGGAAAGCAGTGGCTGAGGGACTGTTCACGTGCAGATTGGGCCTCTGGCAGACTCACATCTATTTCCTGGGTCT